GTGAATTTTGCCCTCTGAGGTGGGCCTTTAGGAGATATGTCCATACATATTTGTAAAAGTCCCAGCCTCAGACCTCAGAGTGTGCTACATTTGGAGACAGTCTTTAAAGAAACTGATGAACTCAGCAAAATATTTCAAAATACTCCAGTAGTCCATAATAGTATTGGGTCTTCTGCATGACTGGCAATGTCAGAATTTGTTGACCTGAGTCCCCTGTGGAGCTAAACAAAAAAAAGGGGATACAGATGAATGACCATTTTGTAACTGTGTATTCAGAATGGCTAGGATAGATATACACCACATTCTCTTAACTCAGTGAATAGAGGGATTTGTTCTAATAGTGTTTGTAAATAGGATATCATGTCTGCATCTTGTACAACAAATAATCACTAGGATGACACTATGCAATGTGTTAATTAGTGAAAGTGTCCTACTAATTTGATTTGAAACTATCTCATTGCTATTTGTTTCTCAATAAAATTATGGAAAAAAAAGAAGTTAAAGATATGTGTAAGCAGCATAAATAAATAAATAAATAAAAGAAAATACCCAACTTAAAAATTTTACATAGATTAAGATAGGCTACAAAGTTCTAAATGTTATGTAAACGTGGCCATAATATTAATTTAGAGGAATATGTGTCAAATATTGATGAAACTGTGTACATGATTACTAAAGGAACATTGTGAAAAATATGACCCCAAAATATTTGAGGAACACTTAATTATAGGCAATGAAGGAAATTTTATAATATAGCTACTAACATATGCTAAATTATTTAAAGACTTACAGAGTAATGGACCATAATCTTTTGAATTAATTTTGTACAATAAACAATTAGGTTTACACTGGAAAAATAAATTAACATGTAATTTCAGGACATGGACCTAGAAATATTATTTTTATTTATATATGCTTTGCATGGAAATAGAAAATAGTATATTAAAGGAAGCTGTATTCCTCCTGTGAATTAAACACTCCTTGGGTGTTACTTTTATTAAATATGTCATTGTGATAGTGACATGATATGTAGTCCTTATTTTGCTTCAGGTCTAATTTTGTATATTTTTAATGATGGAAATATTATTTTTATTTATATATGCTTTGCTCTGTGTATTCTCACCATAAAAATAAACTACTCTGTAACAATGTGTAAAAAAATAAAGAAACTGATGAGAATGTCACTAGGATAACATACATATGAGAGAGATTAGGACACAGAGCACAGAGAAGCCATCTTAAGAGGATACAGGGAAAAGATGGCATCAGTACAGCAAGGAAAACTATACCCTGAGCACACCTTGATCCAGGACAACAGCTTCTAGTGCCACAATAGAATAAAATTGTGCTTCTCAAGAGATCACTTGTGTCATGGCAGTCCATGCTCCTGAGAGACCAAAAGCACACTTTCTGTCTCACATTTTAAGTTCAGGAAGCCCCATCCAGCTTGCCTGAGATGGGCCTGCTGTTCACATACCCCAGAATGACCAAAATGGGCATGGGGAGTGTCCAGCCAGAAAAAGGCTGAGTACTTGGGGTTGTGGAGGCATCAATGAGGGAAGTGTGAGAGGTCCCACACAACTGTCAGTGATGCCCATTTGTGTCTGGGCATGAAAGCCTGGCTTGCGGTACAAGAAAACCATATCAAGGTACAGAGTGTTTAAAGGATGTTTTATTGCCCTAAAGGGACAACCTATAGTTTATCATAGGATCCATAACACTACAAGCAGAACAAAGATACAAAGCTGACAGAGATGTCCCTGGGGCTTTCCTGCAGCATGGGGTGGTGTCTGCTTTCCTTTCCTGCTTGTGCCTTTCTTTCAGACTGAAGGGTATGGCTTGGCATTTTACCATGCTGAATAGGACCATAGCTCATGGACACTCTGTCCAGTGCCAGCCCAGACCTGACTCCTAGGTCACTGGGTTCTCTGTGGGTATCTTGTCTGGGGGTTTCTGCTTCCAGACTGGTCCTTCAGGACATGCCTGCCTGATTTCTGCTGCTTTCAGAATTCATCAAGCTGTGTCTTGACTGGGATAGGCATTCCTGGGCCTCCTCTGTCCATAAGAACCAGAAGTCTGAGTCTGTCCAGTGTGGGACCTGCTCATCGGACCTTCCTGGAGGTATTGATAGTGGTAGCCTCCCCTCTTTCCCATGCTGGATTTCTGCCACCACCAAATGGCCAAGATCCTCCCTTGAGCATCCTAGGCCCAGCCCCTTATTACCAGTGCAGAGGCCTAGAATGTCCCCTGTCTGTGTGTTGGATCCAGCACTGTGCAGTGTGGTCCATGAGGAGGACCAGTACACAAGGTCCCTATCAGAGGACACATGAGGGAAATGTGTGCCTTTGTTCAAGCCCCAGTCCACAGAGGTGTCCAGAAAGGCCCCCTGGGAACAAGCTAATACTCTCTACAAGGATAACTGTCAGTGGCCCTTTCTAAGCCTCTGCTGGGGGATAATGATCATGTTGCCTGAATTAAGTGCAGCAGTCTCTCCTGAGTGTCTCAACTTCACTTCTCTCAGTGATTCCCTGTGCTGGAGAGGTGAATGTTGACAGGAGTGTCTCCAAACCTAATCTCCACCCAGATGGACTTGGGCAATGCTGGGCTTTGCTTCCTCTTAGATGACCACCCTGCTCATGAGTCAGTGTTGTCCTGCAGAGTGAACACGCATCTCTTGTGTGTCTCATCCAGGGTTATGGTGACTGTTCCAGGAATGGTGCTTGTCCAGGATTCTGAGGCTTGGTGCAACTGCTATTCAGAATTCCTCCAGATCAGAGAGGATGGGAGCACAGTGTCACTGAACCACAGAGGCTGCAAGGTCAGAGGAGCGTGCCACCTATGGCTCAGATGCTGGAAGTGATGGATTGAGTCCTGTAAGGACCTGGGAAGCATGGGCCCTTACGAGGTGGGCCCTAAGCCCCCTGTCCGATCATGTTCCTGTAGTCGGGGACAATGGTTTGCTTCAGTTCCACCACTGAGGAGAAGATCCACTTCACCTGCAGGAAGAGTGAATGAGTAGTCATGGCACCACAGGATGCCACCACGGTCAGTGGGACCAGGACACAGCATAGGGATAGGATGAGGATAGAGCAGTCCAGGGTGGAAATAATGTACCAACAGGTTTGAGGATAAGTTTGGGACAGATCTTTGGGACAGCAGGAGCATCATGGAAACCAAAAATATAGGTAGCATGGGGGGAAATAGCATGGGTATTCATGGGATAATATGCAAAAAACAGCAGGGTTTATCATGAAGAGAGTGTGAGTAGATAATGGGGACAGAAATGGGGAAGCAACATCTGACATTCTGGGGACATAGTGGGGACACCATGAAAAGACAACATGCAGCGTCATGGGGTAATATGGAGGTAATCTGAAGAACAGTATGAAATGTCATGAGGGCAGTGTGTGTATAGCATAAGGAAAACTTCATGAGATATCATGGAGAATTCTTGGAAGAAACATAAAGCAAACACTTTGGTATATTGTGGGGGCATCATGGGGACAGTATGGGGACAGCATGGGTTGTGGGTCATTGCAAGGACAGCACATGCAGGATATCAAGGGCAGTGTGCCAACCTTGAAGAGGGTGACTGAGGCGCTGTAGCATACGCTGAGCAGGAAGAGGGTGATGAAGATGGTGATGGTTGTCCACAGCCCATCCAGCTCCCCGTCCTGGGCCTCAGCACAGTTATCATCCAGGTCCAGCCCTGGACAAGAGGAGGTGGTCAGTGTGTGTTGCCTGGCTGGCCCTGGCCTCTCCCTGTGCAGTAATGTGGGGTTGCTGGGAGCCTGGGATGGAAGTGCCAGCTATACCCACCCAGGATAACTCTCCTTGGCCACCCTCACTCAAATCAACCTTGTGACCTCAAGTCTCCCATCTAGAGCAGGTTTTTCCAGGCACCATAGCCAGGATGGATGCCTGGATTGCTGAACAACTCCTCTTGTGTTCCAGCAGTCAGCACTAGAATAGCTGGGCAGCACTGGGCCCCAGGACACTACAGGTTATGGCTCTGAAGCCCACCTGGATATCTTCCTGTCCCTGGTGACTAGGCTGGGTGATGGAAAGATGGCAGGGCCAAGTCAGCAGTGATATGGTCCCTGTGTGTATGCAAGGCATCCTGAGGGTTGAATGTCAATTGGGCTGGGGGGACTTGTACATAGTAGAGGCTGCAAGACAGCCAGCCTGTCTATATCCAATTAGATAGGCATTGAAAGTGGATGAGTGCAGTGGAGGCTCCCTGTGGCCCCAGGGTATTTGGTGTGCACATGTGTGTTCACAGATGTATTCACTCAGAGTGGACCAGGTAGGTTCTAAAAACTTGTTCTAATGGATCTTGGGTCAGTGTGTTTCCGTGAGGATCAGTTGTCTCATGTGTTTGGATTGTTCTTCCATGTAGTGGCCATAGTGGTATCTCAGCTGCTTTGGAGCACAGAAGTGAGTGCCCCCTCGATTGTTTAGTGTCTCCCATGTCACAGGGTTGGCAATATCCTTGGGGAGGCTAGATTCCCCATGGTTGTACAGTATCTGGTGTCCCCAAGCATGACCATCCCTATGAAAGTGAGGGGGTCATGGAGATCCTGTTCCAAAGGCATGACCTGCATCTCTCCAATGTGTAGAGACCCTTATACAAGAATAGGCTGTTAAAAGGCAAATCTTAATGTTTCTTCCCTTGGGGGTTTGTAGGGAATTATTGGTAGCTTGAGATGGGCCCTGGCAGAAGGACTGCTAGATTATACCTGTCACTGTGAGGGCAGACACACATGCTGTGGTCCTGTCATGCACACCACTGTCTATCCCTATTGACTACAATGCAGGATTGGCCTGTGTAACCCAGAGCCCATGGCCCCATGGCACAGGTCCTCCGCTTTGGAAAGAACCAGGACAGTGTCGCAGGGTCCCAGGCAGTGCTGGGTGATTTATTTACAAGGGGTTTGGGGGACAGGGTCCTGTAGGACTTAAAAGCCCACTGGCTAGTGAGGGCTCCCTGGGCACAGCACTCATTTACCCGGAGACCGGGAGATGGTCTTCTGAGTGACGTGATTGTGCAGAGCTTCGTGCATCACGGTGCAGGTGTAGATGCTTCCTCGGTTCCACTTGTTGCTTTCCACTCTGAGCTTGCTATAGAGGAAGAAGGTCCCGTCACTGTCACCGATAGCTGGGGTGTTCCTGTAGCTTTCCTCGCTCACTGGGTTTCCATTGTTCATCCACTCCACATCAATGTCAGCAGGATAGAAGCCAGTGACCAGGCAAGTCACAGTGACTTTGTCCTTGGACAGCTCCTCTCGGGATGGGGGCAGGGTATACACTTCTGGCACACGGAGTGAGCCTGTGGAGACAGAGATCAGCACATATTCAATACCTGCATGGAGGCCTGGCTATGGAGGCTTTGTGCATTTCACCCCACAGTGCCACTCAACCTCCCACCTGCAGGCCCTGCATTCTCACCTTTGGCTTTGGAGATGGTCCTCTCAATGGGGGCTGGCAGAGCTTTGTTGTTGACCTTGCACTTGAACTCCTTGCCCTTCAGCCAGTCCTGGTGCTGGATGGGGAGGGAACTGACCACACGGAAAGTGGTGTTGAATTGCTCTTCTCGGGAAATCGTCGCAGCTGTGTTAACCTGTGTGTTATCTATAAACCATGTGAACTGGACCTCAGGATCATCCTGGCTCACATCTACTGCAACACATGTAATCTTGGGGACCAGGGAGATCATGAGTGTGTCCTTGGGCTTGGGGGGGAAGATGTAGACAGTTGGTCCTTCCAGGTTCTGAGGAGCTGGTGTGGGAGAAAAGGCAACAGATCAGCATCTAGAAGCCTCCCTCTGACACAGGGTTCCTATGGGTCTCTTCTTGGACTAGAAAAGGAGGCTTGGAAACTTACGTGGGCACTTGTGACATATGGGACATGTAGGACATGGAGTTGGAAGTGGTCGGGGTTTGAACTCTGCAAAGAGAAGGCTGGGGTTACTGGGATTGCAGGAAAGATGTTGCACCAAGGTGGGGGAGTTAGATTTTTGGAGTGAGGTTAGTTAGGCCCAGGCTGCCCTGAGATAAAACTCTTAGCAGCTTGAGACCACAGGTTCTCTGTGTCCCATTGACCAGTTGCATAGCCTGCATCCACCCTGGGCCTGGCTCAAAGCCACAGAAGATGGGAGCTTCCTGGTGCCTATGGTGGACACACCCAGGAAGGCAGACCCCACACCTCTTTTCAAGGGCTCCCATATTGCCTTGAGAACTGTCCTTACCAACATCCTTGTTTACATTGGTGCTGCTGGCCTCATGGACTACATTGCAGGTGGCCTTATTCTTGCTGGAGGGCACAGTTACCACACTGGTGAGCGAGTACAGGCCTGAGTGCAGGACAGCTGGGAAGGTGTGCACTCCGCTGGTCAGGGTCCCTGAATCCCATGACACTTTCACTGGCTGAGGGAAGTAACCCTTCACCAGGCATCCCAGGGTATTTGTCGAGCCAGATGTGCCCACACAGCCGGAAGCCAGAGGGAAGACAGAAGGTGCTGTTACGCTGGCTGCAAGGAAAAAGGCATCAAGTGATTTGGTGTTGCACACAGTTGACCCTGAATCATGGACGACCCTATGTCCTTGTCTTTCCCATGGTCCAGGCACTTTGCAAGGTTTAGGTATGGTCCTGGGTATGTGCTCATGGCCACTGATACCCACCTGTCCTGTTCTACATTCCCCTAGCTCCTCTTCCTCGAAAACTTTGGTTTTAGGTCAGCCTGATGTCTCCACAACAGCCAGACCCCAGTGTGCTTCTAGAAACCTGAAAGCCCTGCTCTCTAGCAGTCTCTGACCCTTTGTTCTACTTTCTGTCTGTGTTCCTGGACAGCCATGCTCAAGCCCTGGACCAGTGCTTTATGACTCACAGGAGTCAGCACAACTCTGGACTTGCAACCTACTTCTAGACTGTACTTGCCCATTCCCTGGGCTGCTGCTGGTCTTCTGGGACCCTAGCTTTCTAGGTTCTTTTGACTGCCAGGCATGGCTGATTTGTTTGTTTCTGGTGTTTTCGAACTTAGCAAAACTACAACACTTTTCCTCATCCTGGTCTTGACCATGTAAGAGTCCCATTATAAGCACTGGAGACTCAGCTGCACTGCCTAGGATTTTGGCTCAGCTACTCCACAGCTTCCCCCAATGCCTTTCTCAGGTACATTCAGGCCTACACTCCCAGAACCCTGACTCTTACACCTACAGTTTCCACCCAGTCCTGGATCCCCAATCCACAGCATGCTGCCAGCACCCAGGGCACCAGGGAAGCCCTTACGCATTCTACTATGGCCAGCAGCCATAGGCCCTGGAGATTGGAGTACAGCCCAATGCCTGAGGACATTGAGGACCCTTGTCCCTCATCTTCCTCTTAGCCCAGCACCCTGCCACTTTCCCTCACTGTGTTCCCCAATTGTCCAGCAGACTCTGCTCCTTCTCTCATCATCCCCTCTATGTCACCAACTTCCCTGTTCCTCTTTGTGCTGCTTTAGAACAGTTCTCCTGGCCCAGTTTCCCCAAGCCCCCAGAACACAGCCAGACTGACCCTGGAACTGCGATCCATCAGGTATGTTTGGGATACCAGCCCCAGCGAACTTTCTTGCTCAAGGCCCCATCTATATTCTTAAGCAGACACTTGCTCAGTGCCTAGGACTGTTGCTCTCTGCAGCAAGCCCTGCCCTGCAGCCCCTGTGCTCCTATTCCCCAGAACCTCCTTGCTAGCCCCAAGCCTCAGTTTCCTGCACATACAGGTAGACTGCAAGATGGGGTTCAGAGCTGGTGCTGAGGGGGACAAGGCAGAGCAGTGAAAGGAGAGTTGGCCCAGGTGGGAGGAGGAAGACTAGATCTCCTGAACCCCATATCCAGGGAGCTGCCTGGGCCATGCCACTTTCCAACATACCTCTACCTGAGGAGTCCTGACTCTCTCCTTTGCTCCTTTCCTGCCAGAGCCAGGACTCTTCAGGCTTTACCTCTGTACTGAGAGTCTCATGTTGGGCCTTCTAGCCCTGTTTCCAACGGGCCACCTATATGGTGACCCCTGGGGCTGCTGTGGCCCTTCCAGCACATTTGTCCACAGCTCACCATTAGCTGCTCTGCCTTGGTTGCCTCAGCTACTGGGGCTGCCTTGGTTCCTTCAGCATCCACTTGCTTCTGGGCACTTGCAGTGTCTGCCCTCCACCCTGAGCTCTAGGCTTGCCTTGAACTCTTCAGCTTTCTCATGCTAGAGCTCACTTATTGCTGTGCAGACTGGGTCCCCTGAGCTCTTAGGTCTCCCCTAACACCTCACGCATCTACTTTCACATGGTCACCTGTGTTTCCATGGCTCCCAGCCTTTCCTTGGCCCTTCCAGCATTAACCTGCCCAGATCAACTGTAGCCATTGTCCCTGGGAGCCTGCACACATGGAGTTTCTCTGGGTCCTGCAGCACCCAAATAACTACAACAGCAGTTTCTGCAGGAGCTTACCTGCAACTCCTGAGCTTCTAGGGCTGGTTTGTCCCTTAAAGTACCCACCTGGCCCTGCTCACCTGTATCTGCTTTCATGTGCTCCCCTGAGTTCCTGGGGGTCTCTCATGAGTCCACTTGCCCCAGCTCAACTGTAGGTGTTCTAACCTGCTCCACTGAGCTACTGGTGCTCCCATGGCCTTTTTAGTGCTCAGTTGTCTCTGCTCACCACTAGGTGCTTTGCCCTACTCCTTCAAATTCTTGGGGATGCCCTGGCTCCTTCAGCTCCTTCAGCTCCAGCTCAAATGTAGCTATTCTGCTCTGATCCCCTAAGCTCCTGACTCTTCTAGTACCTCTGCCCCAGCTCATTTGTAATTTCTTGGCTCTACTCCTCTGGGCTCAAGGAGCAGTCCCGATTCCTCTAGCACCAAACTTCCGCAGGAGCTGTCCTGATTCTTTTTGTACCCAGCTGCACCAGCTGACCTATAGATGCTTTCCTTTGATCTACTGATGTACTGGGGAGCTGTCCTGGCTCCTTCAGCACCAAGCTGCCAGAACCAACCTGCAGCTTCTCTGGTTAGCTCCACTGGACTACTGAAGCTGTCCTGATTCCTCCAGCAATCACTGGCCCCAGACCACCTGCAGCTGCTCCACTTTGCTCCTCTAGGCTCTTGGAGCTGACCTGATCCCTCTAGCATTCCACTTCCCTAGCTCATCTACGGCTACTCTGATCTCCTCCCCAAGGCTCCTGGAGATGTTCTGCTAGCATTAAGCTTCCCAAGCAGACCTGTAGATGCTCTGCTCTGCTACCCTGGGCTCCTGGAGCTGTGCTCATTCCTCTAGCACCCAGCTGACACAGCATACCTGAAGCTGCTAATACCTGCTCCCCTAGGATCATGAAACAGTCCTGATTCCTCTAGCATCCAGGGGCCCCAGCTCACCTGCAGATGCTCTGCTCCACTAAGCCTCCATATTCCCTTAGAACTCAGCTGCCCAAGCTTAACTGCAATTGCTCTGTTCTGCTCCCCTGGGCTCCTGGAGCTGTACTCATTCCCCAAGCACCAAGCTGCCCCAGCTCATCCGTAGGTGCTGTCCATTGTTCCCCTGGGCTCCCAGTGCTGTCCTGATTCCTCTAGCACCTAGCTGCCCCAGCTCATCTGCAGCTGCTCTGCTCCCCTGCACTAACAGAGCTGTGCTCAACCCCTAGCATCCAGCTGCCCCCCTTCACCTGCAGTGGCTCTGCACTGATCCGCTGGGCTCCCAGTGCTGTCCGGATTCCTCTAGCACCAGTTGCCCCTGCTCATCTGCAGCTGCTTTGCTCTGCTCCCCTGCACTAACAGAGCAGTTCTCAACCCCTAGCATCCAGCTGCCCCAGTTCACCTGCGGCTGCTCTGCTCTGCTCCCCTGCACTAATAGAGCTGTTCTCAATCCCTAGCATCCAGCTGCCCCAGCTCACCTGCAGCTGCTCTGCACTGCTCCCCTGGGCTCCCAGAGCTGTCGTAATTTCATTAGAACCCAGCTACTCCAGCTCAACTGCAGCTGCTCTATTCTCCAGCCATGGGCTCCTGGAGCTCTCCTGATTCTTCTATAATGCAGATATCTGGGTCACCTGTGGCTGCTCTGCTCTGCTTCCCTGGGCTCCTGGAGCTGTCCTCATTCCCCTAGCACCTAGCTGTCCCAGCTTACCTGCAGCTGCTCTGCTCTGCTCCTTTGCGCTCCTGAGCTGTCCTCATTCCCCTAGCACCTAGCTGCCCCAGCTCACCTGCAGTTGCTCTGCCATGCTCCCCTGGGCTACTGGAGCTGTCCTCCTCCCCTAACACCCAGTTGCCCCAGCTTACCTGCAGCTGCTCTGATCTGCTCCTCTGGGCTCCTGTCCTCAATGCCCTAGCAACCAACTGCACAGGCTTACATGTAGCTGCTTTGCTCTGCTCCCCTGGGCTCCTGGAGCTGTCCACTTCTCCTAACACCCAGCTGCCCCAGCTCATCTGCAGTTGCTCTGCCCTGCTTCCATGGGCTCCTGGAGCTGCCCTCATTCCCCTAGAACCTGGCAGCCCCAGCTTACCTGCAGCTCCTCTGCTCTGCTCCCCTGGGCTCCTGGAGCTGTCTTCCTCCCCCTAGGACCCAGCTGCCCCAGCTTACCTGAAGCTACACTGCTCTGCTCCACTGGGCTTCTGAGCTGTCCTAATTCCCCTAGCACCCGGCTGCCCTAGATTACCTGCAGCTGCTCTGCTCTGCTTCCCTGGGATCCTGGAGCTGTCTTCCTTCCTGTAGCACCCAGCTGCCCCAGCTTACCTGCAGCTGCTCTGCTCTGCTCCCCTGGGCTTCTGAGGCTGTCCTCATCTGCTAGCACACAGCTTCCCCAGCTCA